TGTGAAGGAGCATTTGGTGGAGGCGGGAATTGAGACAAGGCTTGCGTGATTGATTGATTGATTGATCGATTGATCGATTGATCATTCTTCCATCACCAAGAAGTTTCCATCACCAAGAGTGTGAAGGAGCATCTGGTGGAGGCGGGAAATGAGACAAGGCTTGCGTGATTGATTGATCGATTGATTGGTCGATTGATTGATTGATTGATTGATTGATGGAATCGAGAGTGTGAAGGAGCATTTTGGTGGAGGCGGGAATTGAGACAAGGCTTGCGTGATTGATTGATTGATTGATTGATTGATTGATTGATTGATTGATTGATTGATCATTCTTCGTCATGAGATGGGTGATTGACATTTGACAGAAAATTATAATAAACTGGTTTAATAAACTAATGGAAAACGTGATCGATATGTCATAAAATCTTGTAGGGATTCTATAAGATCTGTTGACAGACACCTGTCGCCCTCCTCGCCTCTTCTCCGTACTGTCCCCTCCCGGTCTCTACGTCCCGGAGAAAGAGAGAAGAGAGGGGAAGAGAAGTGAGGAAAAAGGAGAGGGAGGGGGCGGAAGGGAGGGGAAGGGAGGGGAAGGGAGGGGAAGGGATTGGTTGGTTGGCAGTGGCCGACCAATCTGCAGTTTATTTTTGGGTTTCGAAACGATCTGAGAAAAGTTATGGTGTTTATTTGATTGACCAGATTTGTGAATCGGATCCCAGGGGTGAGGAGGATTTACCGTATTTGTAAACGAGATCCCAGAGTTGTCAGTTCGGGATTCCTGATCCTGACCGTAGATTGCCGAGATCTGGATCAATGGCCAGAAAGTTGACGAGTTGGCGTGATTGGGAGAGCTCTCCTCTCCCCAGGAAACGTGCGTATGTAAGGAAAGAGTTTTCAAGCAGCAAGCGGCCCGGGATGGGAATGGAGAGAGAGAGAGAGAGAGAGAGAGAGAGAGAGAGAGAGAGAGAGAGAGAGAGAGAGAGAGAGAGAATAGTGTCTCTATGAAGCAGACTGTATTTATACCTGTTTACGGTTTGCCTTTTAGCAAGAGATGCTTTCACTGCTCTTTCTTAGCGAGCGAATTGTTCTTACTAGTACTTTTAGTTTTTTTTTTTTTTTTTTTTTTTTTTTTTT